AGCATTGCCCTCGCTGGGGCTCGAACCTGAATCTCTTGAATACGTGCCGAGTGTGCTACCGTTACACCAGAAATAAACGCAGAAAGGACGGAAAAAAGATATGCTCGTAGAGATATGCTCGAATATAATTGAGGTTGTAGAGATATTAAGTCATTTCGAAGCAGGAGAGATGAAAAATGAGCAATGCCTCCGCCAGGACTCGAACCATGGACCTCTCGAATACGCGTCGAGCGTGCTGAATGCTACACCACGAAGGCATGCTAAGAAGGCAGAAGAAATACTTTATATACCTTCCCTTTCAAAGGGCGATTGATTGCGTATTACGGTACTCAATCCCGAAATCCTGGTGGGGAAGAATCATTATCCATCACCTTTTTAGTTCGGGCGCCACTGTAAAGACATTAGGATTTTTTTTAAAGCGGATTCATACACCTTAAAACCCATAAGACGTTCGAATAGGCGACTGTTGTAAGAATTGGGATAACTTATTTATTTTAAAAGCAATTACTACCAACATTTTACAGCTGACTACATAATATAGCTGCTTTCTGAAATAGTCATCAGAAAGTTTGTGTTGCCACAAAAATTTTTATAATTTAATCCGCTTTGTGACAACATTTTTCGTCATGTTTCCTACTTGCGCGCAAAGTTTAAAACATTCTGTTTCATAATTTAAATCCAAAAATTAGTATATAGATTTTATAACATTTGGAAACGACTGTGAGCCTAAAATTCTAAAAATTTCATGTACAATTTTTATTTTATTTTGAGTTGAGTTTATAAAATGTATTTTATAAACGAAATTTTTAATGTTATCGTCCATAAAATTTTTCAATATTAAAATATTCATCAGATTGTTGGTTCAGTTAGAAAATAGTTCCCATATAAAGAATTCCATCAAATTTCAAGTATGTCCCATTAGCCATTTTAAAAATATCTTGCGCGCAAGGTGGAAACATGGCGAAATGTTTTGTCACAAAGCGGATTAAATTACAAAAATATTTGTGGCAACACAAATTTTCTGGTCACTAATTTCCAAAGCAGCTATATTATGTAGTCAGCTGTAAAAAGTTCGAAATAATTGCTATTAAAATAAATTAAATATCCCAATTCTTGCAACAGTCACATATTCGAAGATCATGAGGGATTTAAGGTGTATGAGTCCTCTTAAGCTGAAGATGTGAAAAATGAGCAATATCCTTGCCGGGACTCGAACCTGGACTTCTCGAATATAGTTTGCTAATCATTACACTACGAAGGCATGCAGAAAGAAGGAAGAAAATATCTTATATAATCCCCCCTTTTAAAGGGAGATTGGAGGATTAGGCGACCCATTTTAGTTCGGGCGCCACTGTGGAGTCATAAGATTATTTTAAAGCAGAAGCAAATGAAAAATGAGCAATACCCTCGCCGGTATTCGAACCTAGACCTCTCGAATACGCGTCGAATGTGCTTCCGTTACGCCACGAAGGCATGCAGAAAGAAGGGAGAAAATACGTTACAAGTGTTACGGCCAGCTACCGCTAAGCATTAGACAGAGTGATAAAAATGTCGCGCACATCAAATTAAAAAAAAAAAAAATTGTTGAAATTCCAAAGCGGATATGAATGGGCAGTTGTGTCAGTGGCTGACGCAATTTCCCATTACTTCCCCAATGATGGTCAGCTTCTCCTAACCATTATATTGTGTGATAAACGTTAAGCAATGCAAATCAAATTTAAAAAAAAATGTGGACATTCCAAAATGGATATTGATGGACAATTGTGTGAGTGAAAGCCACCTGTCTACTATTACACGCAATACATCACTTAAAATTTCAGCTTCGTTATCGGTTTTACGTTAAGTTTTCACTTCGGGAAAACTCATCTGCATCTTGCACTGCTTGTTTGGTGCAAGATGGAGGATGAGCTGTCTGCACAGAAAACGAGTTTGAGTGTAACTTCGCGATGCATTCTTACAGAAAAGTTGTTGAAGCATTTAAAGAGAGCTGTAAACCTAACCAGACAATTATTTGCCGGTTGGCAAGCCGATTTTAAGAAATTGGAAGAGTACAACATGAAAAATGAAGTCGCCTTCCCTCTCTTCTGAGTTCAGAGAAAATAGACGAAATCAGGAATAATCTTCTGCAATCCAAAACAGAAAGCGTAGGAAAGATGTCATACTAATGAAATTTATACGTTGCGAAGTAATGCCCAATCATTAGAATTTATTATGCTTGGGAAAAACTCATTTCATTTTCTTCCCAAACAAACTATTTTTAAAGCTTACAGAATGAATTGCAATTGGAATTTCAGACGATATACGACTTGTAACAGTACAGGGGTAAGTTATCAGTTGGAAAAATTTGCCAATAATATTCATTTTTGAATTTCGAAAATTTTTCAAAATTCGGCGGTAACTGAGCAAGCAAACTGCTGAGAAACGAATAATATTTTTTGATATTATTTGTCATTCCAGCATGGTCGCTAATCATTATATTTAACTAACAATTCTCAGCAATGTCTGTCAGTGTAAAATAGAAATCTTCATTTATATTAAAAAGAGGATAAATGTAATGTTAATTGCAATTAATTTTAGATGATAGGCTATTTTTATGCTAATATTCTAACTTCTTTTTTCTGTTTCACCAGCCTTCACTAAAATGCATATTAGGTGATTATTAAATAGACAGCGAATGTAGAATTCGGGGGCTGATGCTTTGGCTTGTATCATTTCATTTTTGTCAGTCTTTCGTTCACTCGCCGATCTGATTTTTGGTAATTATAGTTTGCTTGTAGTATTTGTTAGCACTGGGCTTAAAAGTCGTGTGAAGCTGAAGCTGAGTTGTACGAACGTAAGCTACGAATCCTGAAAATAGCGGTGGATAAGTTTGGTAAAATTTTAATTGTACTGAAAAGATTTACTGCTAATAAAACTTTATTTAAATTTGCATGTTTTTTGTGTTTTTGGAATTTAGAATTCTACTTGGGTTTAAAAACGAGAATTCGTTTGTAGTACAAAAGTTAAAGACGTCGTAGGTAGTAGGTAGTTAAGTTTAACCTTACGAAGTAATATGTACATCGTTGTTTATTTTGTGACGCATGCTTTCATTTTATTCAGGGACATTAAAATATTGCACACTTATATGTGTTCATGCTTGGAACTGCCATGAGTAGACAATACAAACCGCACCTAAGATGCTAAATTTCGCCATATTACCATTCATTCTAACTTAATGCACATTGAAAAACTTATAAAAGTTTTATTTCATTGATATTCAAAAGTACAATTTACATAATTTCGCTGCTAATATTCAACAGATACGGTAGCATGACTCTACCTGAAATCCTTCTAATCCTTCTATGCTTCCTGATGATTTTAGACTTCCGTGGAGGCAGTCGTTTTAAAGAGATGATGTTCGATATCGATGTTTAGTTTTGTTCTCAGGAATATTGATCATTTTTAGAAGCGAAATATCTGCCAGAGATATTTGCCATGAGGGATATATTAGATGCTGTATAAGGACACTAAAGGTTTTTCCACCTAGGCGTATAAGATAGTCTTGCGACAACCCTGTTTTTAGGCTTTTCAATTAACAGACGCTACTAACACTAGCAGGACTGATTTATAGAAAGATCACTAACAGGTCTGATTTACAGAACAATACAATTTCCTAAAAGGCTGACTCACAGAGAGATAAAGTACTAAACACAACTGGACACTAATTCACAGACACATCACTAACAGGCCTGATATTCAGAAAGATAAAGTACTAAATACAACTAAACGCAACTTCACAGAAAGATCAGTAACATGTCTGGTTTACAGAAAGATAAAGAACTAAATACAGTTAGACTCTAATTCACAGAAAGGTCACTAGCAGGCCTGATTTTCAGAAACATAAAGTACTGAATACAACTATACAACTAGTTATAGTTCGACCGCCTCATCCGCGGCCATGAGTGCAAACACGCATGTGCCATTCGGACCGAATTATTCTCAAAATAGGGTTGAAGAATGGGGACTTTCTTTCCCTCCAGCATAGCTCTTTCCGAAGAAGAGAAGACCTTTCACGTTGCAGCAAGTAATACCGCCCTTTTTGGACGAGTATATGTGTTTTGGCAGAATGCCAACCAGCACTTGAGACGGTTGAACTATACCTATAATCATTATGTTCTGTTGTTACATATCTTCCTGATCTAAATCAGAATCTATAAATGAGCGTAATTTATAATATGTAATAATTTAGATCAAATTTAGTGGACTAGATTAGATCCATTCATTCATTATGGCCGAGAGGAAGAGGTTCTTGCAAGGCAAGAACAGGCTATGTATATATAACAATACGACTTTATTAGAACTTAAAATGTCTCTTGTTCCTTTTTACCATCCATCGAGCTCTTGAGGGCATTTCCGGCTCAGAGAATATTTAAGTGCTCTCCTTGATGTAAAATGTGTAACGTGTATACGAGTCAGTTTCCCTTAGAAAATCCTCCACGAAGGAATCCCACCCCTTAGAAAGTCCTCCACGAAGGAATCCCACCCCTTAGAAAGTCCTCGAGCGCTTTTCCATAATTTATATAATATAAGCAAGCAAAAACCCTTGCTGCAAAAATACGATACATTTACAAATGTCCATGCCTTCTCCAGGATTTGAGCCCGGACCCAACGAAATGGCAGCCGATTCCGCTAGCGACATTACCAGTGGAGTGGCAGTTACTGTAAAGATACTATAGCTACTAAAAAAACTTTAAAAAGTTTAATTTTATAACTACTTTATAAAACTTTAAAGAGGTACTAAACATTTTCGCCATTACATCGAATTTCTTTCAGCTATGTAATGTAACTCAATTTTATTTATTTTGTAATTTAGAAAAGTAATGGAGAATTTTGGAGCTCAGAGTAAATTTTATGTAAATTGAGATTTAATACGCAATTTTAAACTACCACAAGAGCTTTAAGAAAAAAATTTAAATCTGAATGCAGAATTGAGCACATCAAAAAATTTGCATAGAAATTACCTCCTAAAGAGTCTTCCCTGGATTGACTAGCAGAACTAGGCAGATGATGGCTCTCCCATTCTTGCAGGATTTCTAGAAAAGGAGGAAAAAATAAGAATTAGGGACATGAAAGTCACATAGAAACAAAGCTTTCTGGCGTTTTTGATGTTTTTAAGAGTTAGAAATTAAAGATAATGGCAATGCAAAAGTTTCAGAATGCAGTCTAACACTTCAAACAGAGCATCTATAAAATTTCAGACAGTTAACATAAAGCATTTAAACTATTAAAAACATAAAATTGTAAATTTAAAAAAGAAATTGTTATCTGATCTTGGTATGTGGATTTTAATTTAACACTGAAAAAGAGGGATCTATGTCTAACCGGTCTCGAATTTAAAAAAAAAAAAAAAAAAAAAAAAAAAAAAAAATATTCAAAATTTATGCAAAATGAAGTTGCTCTTTTACTTAATTTTAACCCTTTGTTGCATCATGTCCACTCTAGTAGACAAAAGTTTAAATTTATTTATTCTTCTGTAAATGACTTAACAGAGTCCATTCCTGTGCTTATTCATTGTAAATTATTAGAACTTTCAACTCTCGATCCTAGATGGCTGTATAGCATCACTAAGTAAAGCATTGCTATTTGAAAAATGGCTGCTACTTCTGTTTCCGAGTTAGTACAATTTCTCATAGTAAACATTATATAATATTCCTTACATTTTCTTATACTGCCATTTTTTTGTTCATAATTAGTCATTTTAGACATTTTATTTTAAATGTCAGTTAGAAAAAATTGTGGAGTGGGTAGATAAAGATCTACCGAAAAGAGGGAATTGAAACCCAAATGGACTGCTTATCGAGCCAAAACACCACCGGAAATGTTTATGTTTGGCAAGGAATTTATAAAACATTTGACATTTGAATCCAATAGGTACAGGTTACAAAATCGTAGGAAAATGAATTCAATCACAATCGACGAAATGAAGGTATTTTGGGGGATCTGTATGTACGAGGCGTATTCGGAAACTAAGTACCGTTTTGAAAAAAAAAAAAAAAAAAAAAAAAAAAAAATAGTAAAACAATTTTTTCGAATCCAATTTTATTTTTACATGAAAATACATGTCTTAAACTATTTTTCAACATAGTTTCCGCCAATGACCACGACTCCACAGCATTTTTCGTGTCATCGTCAGATCCAAAGCGCTTGCCACCAAGCTCGCGCTTTATGTGCAGGAACAAGTGATAGTCGGACGGCGCCAAGTCCGGGCTGTACGGCGGGTGATCGAACTGCTCCCAATGAAACTGTCGAATTAATGATTGAGTGACACCAGCATTATGGGGCCGAGCATTGTCATGGAGCAACACGATTCCTTTACTGAGCATTCCTCTTCGATTGTTTTGAATGGCACGCCTTAGTTTTGTTAAAGTCTCACAATATCGTGCCGCATTAATGGTTTCAGCTCTGAGAAGAAATTCAGTAAGCAAAACGCCTTTCCTATCCCAGAAGACAGTGCCCATGAATTTTGTGATGACATTGTCACTTTGAACTTTTGTTTTTTCGGAGAATGAGTGTGTCTCCACTCCATCGATTGTTGTTTCGATTCTCGTGTGAAATGACACATCCAAGTTTCATCCCCTGTCATAACTTGGTTTAAAAAGTTTTCTCCCTCATCACTGTACCCCGTGAGAAATGTCAGGGCACTACCAAGTCGCTTTGTTTTGTGAACATCAGTGAGCATTTTTTGAACCCATCGGGAACACATTTTGCGATAATTCAAGCGGTCAGACACAATTTCGAACAAACCAGTACGTGAAATTTGTGGAAATGCCTCTGAAAGAGTTATCATTGTGAAGCGTCTGTTCTCATGAATTGCTTCATCGACTTTTCCTTACCAAATCATCGGTGACAACAGAAGGCCGACCACTCCGAGCCTCGGCGTGGACATTTGTTCGACCTGCATTAAACATTCTTACCCACTTTCTCACCATTCCATCCCTTATCGCGTATTCACCGTAAACTTCTGTCACTTGACGATAAATTTCGGCCGGTTTAACATTCCTCGCGTTCAAAAATTTAATCACGGCACGAATCTCACAGTCAGCGGGTGAACTAATTGTCTTAAACATTTTGAATGTGCACATCAAACTGAAAACACAACATAGAGCAACCAAATTGGCGACAATTGAAAGTAAGTGAACAAGAAAGACTAGTGCGCATGCGCGGTATGCCTACCACAGTGCTGCGACGGCGCTAGAATGAAACGGTACATAGTTTCCGAATACGCTACGTACTTGCCAGTTGTAGATTTGCCATTTAGAAGATGATCACTGCAAACAAGATAATAATCAGGTAATGATCACTGCAAACAAGGCAGGAAATGATTGCAAATGCAATGACAGTAAATTGTCGGGAAGAGATTTGTATGCATGTACGTATATGCATGCTGTCCACTGTAGTGAACAAACTGTAGCAATTATTTAAAACGGAATTTGAATAAATTTTTTTAAAAAATATTACTAAGGTTATTTTAAGTAGAAGAAAAAACATTTTCGTTTAACTTGCTTGATTATTTGTATGCAATAAAGTGTTAAGCCTAAAATAATGTTACTCTGAGTAGTTACTTTAGACTACTTAGGTCTAAATTAACTACTTAGGGTAGTTATTTTACTCTGAGTAGTTACTTTAGACCTACTAGTTTATGAATTAATCCCCTTTCCCCCAAAGCAAATTAAGTAGCCAAAACAAAATCGTATTTTATTATTCGCTGTTGAAAACTACAAGGAAAAACGTTTGACACGATATTCTTCATTGTAAATTAGTATAATATGGAAATTCGCGCTCTTAATTATTAAAGTAAAGAATTAGTAATTGCAGATCTAGATGTGCAGTATCTTTCGGGATGGCCTACATATGAATTTTGCAATAAATATTTCTCTCAAGTTGCAATATGTTTTACATATGACGCTGTGAATGTTCATATGACACTGTCCGTATGACACCGTGGAAGTTTGGTACCAAAAGTTTAAAAACAAGAGTTATGACATTCAACAATCAGAGCTCTTCGCATAAAAGCAAATTAGTGTAGATTTTGACTATAACTCAGCCTGATCAACTTACTGATGCTGATCAGGCTGAGTTTTATTGAAAATCTACACTAATTTAAATTTGCTCTTATGCCTAATTTTAAACACTAATTTTTCAAACATACCAGAGATGTTTTAGCTGCGGTATTTCTTCAATCATTGGAAGTTCTCTCTCATATTACGATGAGTCAACTTTGATGTACCTAACATAGAAGTACAATACTACATAATTAGCACAGAACTGTAAACTTGCTCTAAAAGTTCTTGAAGAATCTTTTTTCAAGTCACAATAACTGTTTTATGCACTGATACATACTGTTACGTTTTACTCCTCTGACACCAGTTGTTACGTTATTTTCTTCTTTCACGTTCGCACGGGTTCGTGTGGATTTGGAGTGAATAAAGACGGCACTTAATGAAGTATCGAAACACACTTTATTGGCCCCAGTATTAATCAGGACAGCTCCAACAACTCTTTTTACGGTCGTCGGAGTTCTAAAATAAACACGCTGGAACAATCAGCGACACAGCCTTCAGGTCATCAGGCTATCACGGTGGAGACAGTTTCCTGCAAAGCACCCGACTCTGCTTTCCGGAGTACAGCTCCCGACTCTGCTTGGTCGTTCTCGGAACTCCACATACTCTCGAGACTCTCCACGCTACAACTCGCGATTCACTCGACGACACACAGAGCACGGCTCCCTGACTCTTCAGTTCAGTTGTTCCCGGAGCTCAATATGCTCTCTCGACGATGCACTAACCGCGATACACTAACAGACTCTTCGGTGCTCTCGACGACCCACTCGGCACTCGCTGCCTGGCTGTCAACTCGATCGACTCTGCAGGGATTGACTTGCTAGATGACGACACACTCACTCTCGATGAGAGACACACTATCTCGCACTCTAGACGAGGCTCTCTCGACTCGCCCTCTCGACGAGGCACACTCACCTCGATGAGAGACACACTACACTAACTGACTGCGAAACCAGCAGGGTTTATATAGCTTTCGGCTTGTGTTCGAGAACATTCTGGGCTAAACCGGTAAGAATTCGTTCCAGAAGGTTCTCCATCAGTCCATGACATATCGTCGATTTTGTCGCCAAATGGGCAATTTCTCGCCAAATATGGCAACCCTGCCTTTCCTTGCCATTTTATGGCAACCCTAAAACTGCTTTGCGGGCAAGCCATCTCACCGCGCCTTGACATTTCGTAACAAAATCTTTACATGCAACAGGAATGTTTGATATTTTATCGACAAATGCTGAATGCCAAATGACTTCTGTCATAGAATGTTTCTGTCAGTAAGCAACCTAAACCACCAAATGTAGAAAAAAGGTTAATCCAGTTTCCATGGGAAAAGAATGCAAAGTTTTCCTAAACCGTAACCATATGAGCAAAATTTCTTGGAAAAGGGTTTTTACAAAACTCCTTTAAATGAAAGCCAAATGAAACTTTTCACAATAAAAAAAATTATGTTCTCATGAAATACAGACAGTTTATGACAAACGAAGGAATAGTCTTTATCTTGAGCATCTTTATTATCGATTGACAGGTAACTGATTGTGACAAAACATCAGAGATGTGTGTGCCTCGGGGAGATTGGTTTTGTACGATATGATAATCTTGTAAGAGAAATTACTCAGAAATATTTCATGACACATCTATCCTCCTTTGCAACATATGTCGCGTTTGTTTACTAGAACTTTACTTCCACGAACGCCCTCTGGCGAAAGAGACTAAAAGTAGTCAGTTGAACGGCTGACGCGTCTAACAGATGTATAACGATAGACCGTCTCCGTATAAATTATGCTTGTAATCATTATAACTTGTAAATATTTTGTAGATATCTTTCATATGAATTAAAATTTCTTAAAAAGTTTATAGCTGTGTTTCGAAGTGAATCGAAGTTCATCATAGAGACGGATACCTACAAGAAGGAAAAGCAGGCAGTTCAGGGCAGCCCTATTTAGAAGATAAGTGAACTTTCACTTATCTATTTAATGATC